ATTTCTGTGACTTTTTTTTTCCATTTCCAATAGTTATGTGCTAGGGCAAGTAAAACCAAGAAAATATTCTGACTTTTTAATTTAGTAAAAGAGATTTACTTGTCTTTTCTGTGTCCTATAAAGGAACAAAAGAGGTAGAACTCAATTCGGTTGCAGAAACAGCCTTGAAAGCTACCTTTAAAGAGTTTTTAGGTAGGAAACCTTAGGCCTTTGGCAGACAGCTGTAACCTGGAGTTGGAAAAAGCAAGAAAATGGCCTTAAGAATGTTAATGCAAATATTGGCATGAGTTCATTGTAATTCAAGAGGATTCAGGAGTGTACTAAAAGGGCAAGGTGGTTTTATATAAAAGAGAATCTATTGTGAGGCTACAACATACCTACATTTTATTTGTGTGTGTGCGTATATATGTATACAGCATGTGTGCGTATCTACATACACTCACATATGTAATACAATACAGATGTGTGGGAATATGTGTTAAAAATACTATATTACTGATAATATGAGCACAAATCCAGATATCCCTGCTCCTTCAGTCAAGTTATTCATACCTCAGAGGAGAAGCAAAATTACAAATAATATTTTGCTGGCTTGAGTTGTGGATAGGTGCATTACACAAATGGATGCTGTTAAATCATTATATCATGCTGTACCAGTATGACTTTTGTATGTCCTACATATTTTGCAGACACAAACAACTATTTCAGAAATTATATAAGGAGCTTTCCTGAGAATACAGGCGACAATGTCAGATCTAATTTGAATTACAGCTATTGGAAATCATGGTTCTGTTTTTCATTACTGTTATACCAATATCCCTGACAACCTGCAATTTACCTGGTATGAACAGCACCTCCTGAAAATGTGGAGCTGTTTTGTGTGCAGTTGTGTTTTTGTATATCCTCCCTGTGCATAAGAATGATATTTCACATTAATTCCACTGGATGGCACTGAAGGAGACAAGATTGCATGGAAATATCTCTAGAAGTTGGGTATAATTCCAAAAATTGAGTGTGGTTTACTTTTTCATTTCATTACTGAAATAGACAAATGTGGACTCATTTTCCATCCTGATGTAATAATTTGTCATCAAAATCAGCTCTTAAACACTCCTGCAGTTCTACATTTTGGAAGTAGCAAAATTACAGTGGAGGCAGAGTCAAGGCTTCTGAATCTGAATACATCTTCTTCCTCAACAAAGGTAAAGTCTGAGAGAAGCAGCTTTGGCCCATTCTGCATTCCTATGTAAAAGTTCACAAAGCATCTGAAAAATGTTGACCTCTGTCCTCCATGACAATGCTGTTGATACTGTCCACTTCTATCCTTATGAGCAAGTGCAAGTATTTTAGTTTTCAAGCTAATTTGAAAAAACTGCATAGGAAGGCATTCAGGATTAGAAGCTTCCACCTGTTGAGGAAATGTAGTATACTGTTTCAGAGAACCTCCTGAGTTGAAACTCCATCTGCAGTCCCTACACAAGGACCCCTGTTTTTTCCTGGATAAGGAGATTGCAATCCTGTCTGGAAGGCACACAATTAGAGTCTGTCAGTCAGACCTGTAGGAGTCATGGGAGTCATCTTTGACTTCACTCTTTTTTTGACCTGTTTATCTTGATGTAAATGAATTTTATTTCCTTTTCTTCTCTGAAGTATCTTCTTATCTTTGTTCACATCACAGATATGCTTTTTTAGGCTTTTGTTATCTCTTATCCTGCTTATGACAGCTTTTTTTTTCCCAGGCCTGACCTGACCTGTCAAAAAGGTCCCTTGAAACACTATTCTTGCACTTATCTCCCCAGCCTATTTCTGGGGTTCCTTTTTGTTCTTACCTCTTTAGTGTATCTCCATAGATTTCCCCGTCTCTGCAAACCCTGTAGCCCTCTGAGAATGCAGTTTGACAATTTTTTTGGCAGCTGTGCTGGCCTAAGACAGTTTTTGCTCCCAGCCATCCCTGCCTGTCTCTTTGATAAGCCCGCTGGTTTGCTGGCACAGTTGTTTTGTTCAGCTGTGTGATAAACCAGATTAGGAACCTGATTTGGCTGAAAAATAGCACGGGGGAAGGAAGAGAGGAGCCTTTTACAACCAGCTTATTTCTCCAGTCAAGGCTATGAGGCAGTTGGGTCTGCAGCAGGGACAAGTGGTGAGAGATGCAGGGTTACAGAGCAGCCATGGCTTGTGGTGGTTTATGTAGAGCTGTTGCCAGCTGATAGGCTGTGACCTGATTCTGATGATAAACCAAGCTAATAGCTGCCTGCTGCTGACAGGATAGTGCTGCACCTCCTTCCTCGTCCCCCAGCACAGGTTGGTTCCTGTTGGTTCCCTTGTGCCAACACAGGTACTTGTCTCACCCAAGTGAGCTAGCTGTGGGAGTTAACCCAGCACAGAAGCACTCACTTTTTCTGAGGGCTTTCCTGGGCTATTGTTTCAAGAGCCTATGGAGCCCACCCACTCAGCAGCAGCTGGGTGCTCTGTCAGGTCGACTTTGGCTTCAATTGCACTGCAGCACTTCACAGCGTAGTCTTTCCTGTCAATGCCTGTCCTCTTCTCTCTCAGTCTCCATATCTATTCCATCTGCTTTTCTCATAGCTGTGTTAATGATGTCCTTTTGGTCACCCTCAGCATATGGAATATACTCTCTGAAGCAATTGCTGCATCTTTCAAATCTCTCAAGATTTTCTCTTACTGTGACACACACTGTAAACTGCCAGCAGATAATGCCCAGTTTAGTTGCTTGTAGGAGTTTTGGATTTCATTACTACACTTAATGTGTCCATGTGTTAACTTGAAACAGGCATAGTCTATCAGTTTATTTGAGAAGCTAAAAGGGATTAAACAGAATTTAAAAAACTTTTTTTTAGAGCAAAATTTCCCAAAGCTATGCCCTGGAGGAGATGTACTTGCCTAAGGTCACATATAGGTATCAGAGGATTATTTTCTGTTGCTTTCACACCTTGGATCATCATTCATGCTTGTGCAAATGGGCATAGCATTGCTACTAAGCAGTTTACAGTAACATCTTACAGAATTGTAAATTAGTGCCCCAGAGACATGATAGCAGAGAGTCAGCACTTACATGGGCAGCTGAGCATAGAGATTTAGGGATTTCCTTTCACCTAGCTGTTTTTACTGTTTGGCTTCTTTTTAGACACATGTAGAAGCATATCCTAAACATATTTCATCCTAGTATCTTGGTGTGCTAAGCATTCTTTTTCCTATTCAGTTAAATAGAAACTGTGTAGAAAAACAGCAGTGAGCAAAGCAGCATATTGCCTTGGAAGCAATCAAATTATCTGTGTTTGCTATTTAAAAAAACAAGCAACACAAACATGACAGGGGGCACCTCTACACCGTGCAACAGAGCATAGGACTTAGCATATATTCATCGGGTTACTTGTAAAATAGGAGACAGCAGCTGTAGACTTGTGTGTATGAGTGCTATTGCACCCAAAGTACTTAACCCTGTGGTAGGTGGTGCTAATTAGGTTGGACATGGTGCTAATTAGGTTAGCTACAACTCTGTGGTCATGCAAATACACAGTGCCTGTGAGTCCGGGTCAGACCTGGCTGGAGGATTCTGCATAAACTGCATGAGGCCATATGTGTGCCATATCCAGAGAGAAATTGTTTGCTTGTGGCCTCTTGTTCATTACCCCTGTAGGGTTTAGCTTCAGTAACAGATGCATTTGCCATACACAGGTGTCAGATGTGGCTTTGTTCCAGGGTTTACCTCCCTCTTGGTAAAAACAGAAGATGCACTTTTAAGTGTGTTTTTCAGGCTCTGAGTTGTTGCTGTGGAATAATGGGAATCCAACATAGCTGTTTTACTTCTTAATTCAGGCTGTAAGTACTGAGAGGATCAGGAAAGAAGGGGATGGTAACTTTTTCAGTCACCAGAATTTTATAGAAATTGTGAATATCTGCTGCAAGGTCATGGAGGCAGACAGCAGTATGACAAAGAGCAAAGCACATTCTCCTCCAGTACATTTATCAGTAGAGCTGCCTTCCCCCTTCAGTGAGACAAAGCAATGTTTCAGATTAGAGATATGATCATGACTACAATATAAATTCTGTGTCTATGTAACTGGATGGCAAATATATCCCCAAAGCACTGACTGAAGAATTGCTGTCTTTTAAAATAACTGTTTAATATATCTATAAACATAGCATTCTTTCAAAATTTGAATATTCAAGTTGATGTTTGTAGGAAGGCTAGTGCTTATGAGTAAGAGCAAGGTAAGCTGAAGAAGCACTGTTCAAGCAGCAGTGTTCAGAATGACCTGTGGGATAAAGGGTATTACAAGATCTTTCTCCTTTTTTTTTGTATTTTTTAAAGGATCTCATGTAGTCATTCTGGAAACTTCTCTCTTGTTTAATTTCCGTTTGACAGACGGACGAGACAGAGGTTTGATTAGAATGCTGTGAGTCGTCACTCATAACTAGGAAAGACTAGTCAAAATGTGGGCCCTGTCTGTAAGGAAATGGGACATGTGGTTATCCAGTATATAGAGAAAGATGAGGTATCCAACAACTTTGTTTGCCTCAGTCTTCACTGGCAGGTGCTCCAGCCACAGTGCCCAAGTTACAGAAAGCAAAGGAAGGGACTGGGAGAAGATCATCACGTTTTTCTCTAGAAGATCAGGTTTTGAGAACCTGAAGGTGCCCAAGTTCATGGAACCAGATAAGATACATCCACAGGTCCTGAGAGAAGTGGCAGAGGAAGTGGCTAAGCCACTATCCATTGTATTTGAGAAGCTGTGACAGTTTGGTGAAGTTCCCTCTGACTGGAAAAGGGGAAATTTAGTCCTCATTTTTAAAAATGGGGAAAAGGAAGATGCAGGGGACTAGAGGCCAGTCAGTCTCACCTTGCAAGATATCTCACAAGATCATATAGCAAATCTACCTGGAAACTATTCTATGGCACATGGAAAATAAGGAAGTGATTGGTGACAGCCAGCATGACTTCACTAAGGGCAAATCATGCCTGACAAATTTGTTGGCCTTCTACAGTGGGGTAATAGCATTGGTGGATAAGGGAAGAGCAACTGACATCATCTACCTGGTCTTGTGCAAAGCATTTGCCACTGTCCTGTACAATAGCCCTGTTTGTAAACTGGAGGGATATGGATTTGATGGATGGACCAGTTGACAAATAAGGATATGGCTGGATAGTCACACTCAAAAGAGTTGTGGTCAATGCCCAATGTCCAAATGGAGGAGTGATAAGTGGTGTTCCACAGAGGCCAGTATTGGGACAGGCGCTGTTTAACACCTTTGCAAGGTGACATAGAGAGGGATGTTGAGGGCACGCTCAGCAAGTTTGCTGACAACACCAAACTCTGTGGTGCAGTCAGCACACTGCAGGGAAGGGATGTGCTAGGGGGACCTGAACAGCCTCGAGATGTGGGACTGTGCAAACCTCGTGAAGTTCAACAAAGCCAAGTGCAAGGTTGTGTGTGTGGCTGTGGGCAGTCCCAGGCATGAGTACAGGCTGGAGGTGTGGGTGGATGAGAAGATTGACATGAGGCAACAAATGTGCACTTGCAGCCCAGAAGGCCAAATGTGTCCTGGGCTGCATCCAAAGCAGCATGGCCAGCAGAGCAAGGAGGGGAGGCAGGGAATTCTGCCCCTTTACTCTGCTCTTATGAGACACCACTTGGGATGCTGCATCCAGCTCTCTGGGGTCCCCTACACAAGAAGGACATGGACCTGTTGGAGAGAGTTCAGAGGAGAGCAGGATGATCAGGGGGCTGGAGTACCTCTCCTGTGAGGAAAGACTGAGGGAGTTGGGGTTGTTCAGCCTGGAGAAGAGAAGGCTCTGGGGAGACCTGATTGTGGCTTTTGCCACTTATAAGGTAAGAGAACTGGAGAGAGATTTTTCACAAGAGCGTAGTGTAGTAATAGGACAAGGGGGAATGACTTTGAACTGAAAGGGGTTAGGTTTAGATTGGATATTAGGAAAGAGCTCCTTACTGTGAGAGTGGTGAGGCACTGGAACAGGTTGCTTTGAGCAGTTTTGGATGCTCCATTCCTGGAAATGATCAAGATCAGGTTGGACGAGGCTCTGAGAAATCTGGTCTAGTGAAAGATGTTCCTGTGCATGCCATGTGGGCTGGCGCCAGCTGAACTTCAAAGTCCTTTCCAAACCAAACAGTGCTATAATCTATGATAATTGACCCATGGCAAGTCAGTAAGAAACTATGCTGTATAATATACTTGTACATAATGGATTAAGATATGACACCTGTGAAATTATGAAAATTATGAGAATTCATAGCTTTTTGATCTTGATATGGTTGCTCCTAATGCTTTGTAAATTGTTTATGTCACAGAGAGATCCAGTTCCCTGAAGATTTGAGCAATCGTTGTAAACTTTATAATGTCATCAACCAGTTTTTTCTTATTCAATGTATGGCAGTGACAATGACCACTTCATAGCAGAAATATAGATTTTTTAAAATAATATTGCTTCGAAAAAGGCACACACAGAGTAAATAATCAAAAGTTGAGTATTTTAATTTTTTTTTTAATTCTTTTTGATGTTATCTTCAATTAGGTTTTTTTTCCACTGTGCCTGCCAGAAAAATATATGCATGCACAGATATCTCTGACTTTTAAAGTCGTGGCACTTGGCAAAATGCATTTAAAGAGACAAACACAAAAGCCAACATTATCCATGAAAACTATGTAAATATTTATAAGCAGTATATGTTTGATTTCTGTTCTCTTAAAAAATTATTTATTTATTTTAAAAATCCATCTGCTGCTACCAGATGATAAATATTTAAATCAAATTTGTGCCTGGGATACAAGGGCACTATTTCTTCCAGTAGGGACATTATAAATTTGATACTGTAGGCACAGCCTCAGTTCCCCATCTCAAGCAGCATAGCAGGCTTTGTTGGGGTACATTTATAGACTTGTATGAAAAAGCTTCCTGTCTGGTGGCTGTAAACAAGCGATCATTTTGCCTAATCTCTTTTAGGAGATTTCCTAGAGGCTGGACTGGAATATGGCTCCTGGGAGAATACCTCATTTTGCCTGAAAGACTCCAAGCAATAATGACTTACCACCTCCTCGGGTAAGTTGTTCCAATGTCGAGTTACCCTCACTGCTAAGAAATTGCATCATTTCAATCCTGAATTTGTCTGACTCCAGTTTCCATTCATTATATCTTTTTATTTTCTGTCTGCAAGACTGAAAAGCTCACCCTACAATCAAGTACCTTTTTCATGTGTGTATATCTGGGTACAGTGATCCAGTCACCTCTCTTCTCTGACAGATTTAATAGATGTCTTAAACCTGATACCTTAGGTGTTATTTTTCAACCTCTGGATCATTTTTTCTGCCCTCTGATTTTTTTTTCTAGTGCTTATATATCCTTCTTGAATCATGGGCACTGCTTTTTCTGATGCTGTGTGTAGAGCAAGGTCACATCCTAATAGTTACTCCCTTTTTTCATACGGAGGATAATCAGTTATTATATATTACAGCTGACATTTGCTGATATATTGTATGTTAATAGATTGGTAGATAAGGTCCCTAGAACTGTGGAGGTCTGACACTTGCATTCTCAATGTGTGTTCACACTACCTAATGCATGCTCTGAATTAAAGGAGCAACGGCCGCCAGATCTTCTGCATACAATGTCCCTTTTGCTTCTTAGATGATCCATAAATCCCATTAATACAGAGAAACTGTAATTCCCCTTTGCTAAATAAAGAGGGAAAGGCTGCAATGTGCGGAGTTGATTTTGCTCTTCCTGTGGGAGAGGTCCTACATTAGGAAGAGAACTATTCTGTTGCTGTGCTCAGAGTAGAAGAAACAAGGAGGGAATAAGGGTGAAGAAGCACTGAGACAACACGGCAGACTTCTGTGAAAGCTCTGAGTGACTGTTTTTCTGGGCAGCAGGGAAGTAGAAATGGCACCCACTTAGGAGTTTTATCTAAGAAAAGCTGAAATTTAATAGAGCTGTCTGGCTTATGTCTGGACACATACAAAAGAAAAACATTGTTATTAATAGCTTGTGCAAGTTTGAAATGCTTTTATTTGTTTATCTCATTTGGGACATGTACAAAAACTGCAGGTGTATGACTTTAATTCCTGTAGTAGAGAATTATAAAATCACAGAAATGTTGCTTGGGAAGGATATATGCAAATCATCTAGTCCAGCTCTGTGCTTGATGCAGGCTGTTGCCAACATTCACTTAGGAATGGACCTCCTTGGAAAATCTGAAAATTTCGTCCACCAAACTCCTCCAACTCCTAATCTACCACACCTTTTTCTTATTCTGCTATCAGACAGGCAAATCTTATTCAGCTCTAACATGTACTCAATCAGGGAACACCGCCATCAGGAAGAAAAAACCTGTTCTTTTACTTCTCCAGATTTCTTGAGTTTAATTAGGCATTGATCCTGTCTAAAGTAGGCTGTATGACTGTGGATGCTGGCACACAAATGGTACAAGAGCAGATAGGAGCATTCAAGGGGAACTGCTTATGCTGCACAGCTTTGTAATGTAACCACAATGCTTGCAGTTTGCCAGTGCAAAAAAAGTGAGATCATTCTGCTTCCCCCCCTCCTCTTTGGCCATGCATTTCCATTTTTCTGGTGGCCATGGCAAGCTGAACTAGAAGAAAACAAACCTCACCATAAAAAGTAAGTAATTACTGAATAGTTTATTGAATAGCAGTGCCAGTTGGGATGGACTTGTATGGCACTGCTCTTTTCAGTGGCAGCTAGCCATTTAGTTGGCTTTGCTGCAATGAGAAATTTCATCTCTGAAGTATAGTTCCATAGCAGTTTATCCTTATCTAAGTCAGAGCTATCATGGTCTGTCCTGGTATTTTTGCAGCTGAGTAGGAAGCTGGTCCAGGGAGCTTTGCAGCCAAGAACTAAGCTTGAGCTAAACCCCAAAAAATCATGCTTGTTCTCCACTGATTTCAAGGAATTGATGTATCTGAAAATGAATCACTCTTTTATACAGTGAGTTTTAAACTTGTGACCTGACCTGATGTTGCTGTGCTGATACATGTGGTGAGAAGGGGAAGGGAAAAAGGCTGGATTGGCAATCTGTATCGGGAAGGCAAAAAGGCTGGATTGGCAATCTTTATCCTCAGACATGGACAATGTCCATGATTTAATTTGTTCATTTCCTGAAGCATATTGTTGATGTGACTTTTTGTGTTCGCAGTAGGTCTTAAGATTATTGTAAGATGATGAAAGAGACCTGTCTTGTATGGAAACATTGCAGGTTCAATATTCTGTGGATCATTCTGGACTCAGTCATTATTGAGTAACAGCTTGTGTTTGCAGAGACTGACTCAGTGACCCAGATGGTCTCTTCCAGTCTTACATTTTTAGCTGTACCCTTGCTAAGAATACCCTAGTGTTAAAACTGTTGAGAACTAGTTTATCTTAATTTGACATTAGTTAGCCACTTTTTAATTTGTTGTATTTGGTACTATTTGATCCTTCACTGCTGTGTTATTTTAGCGGCAGAGTGAAAGAAAAAGAGTACTTTTGCTCTTAGTTGTGCTAAAGATTTTCCCCAAATGCAGTCATTAGAGACCAGCTGCAGACAAAACAGCACAGGCAGTTGATTTTTCAACAATGTTGGATTTTGAGCTCCTGTCTGCAGTAATTAATTAGCTTCATTGCTGAGCTGACTCCCTGCGGGACTGCATGATCATTAGTGCCAAAGCCAGGAAGGGAGCATGAACTCCCAAACCCCTGAGAAACTACTGCAGCAATTCTCGTCATCTGTAGAGCATTTCAAGAACATTTCAAGTGACACTGGTAGAAAAGATTCACTTTCTCATCTGTATGAGGACCTTGCTCAGATTCAGTTAGACTGCTGGGGCCAGGCAAATCTACTTCCTGGGCAAGATTTTGTCAAAGGCTACCTAAAACCCAAAGGGTAGCTCTCAGCTAATTCATCTTAACTTTGCTGATATGTAGAGAGAATTATAGAAGACTTGAGAGGCATCAGGGTACAAATCAATGGTGATGTACAGTATGGGGCTGCTGTGCCAAAAGCTAGCCCAGAACCAAGTATCTGTCAGCTAAAAGTCAAATTTGGATCCAAATATGCCAAATTAATTTGGATTAATCCAAATTAATCCAAATATGCCAAAATGAAAGTGCTGGCAAGAAATTTCACAACTTCCTTCAGGTGCAGAAAACCAGCAGACACTGAGATTATTTACAAATCACTTTTATGAAATACTTTTTGTAGGCTTGGGATGCAATGTAATATAGTTTAATCTCTTCTCTCATCCCCCATGCTTTTTTCAGAAGAGAACAAGAAATTTAATCCAAACAAAGGATTAAGAAATTTCAATAACTGGACTACTGCCATTATTGAAACAATGGGCCAGCTCTTTAAATGCTTGTTCTTGATTGAATTGAAGTCAATGACTACATCAGAGGGAGCAGAACTGGAATGCAGAAAAGAGGAAATGAAAAGTCTAGAAGAGATACA